GTATGGAATTTTTATTCTTCCTAATAAAGGATTTTAATATGCTACATGAATTTTTTAAAATGTCACCATTCTAGTTATATATTTTCTAAAAGTAATTCATTTTTAAGATAGAAAAAGAAGAAAACTAAGCAGATTTAGTATAGCCTAACTTAATAGACTTAAAAATGCATTTTCTCTAAAAAAATTCAGTTAACAGAGTATATCAAAAGCAAAGGAAAAGAAAACTCATCTCTGAAATCAAAATGTTTAGCAAATGAGGATGAATGTAAGTGAGGTCTTCAAACTGATTATCCAGATTTATGTGTGCTTCTTTGGAAAAAGGAAAAGCTCATTTTTATGTAGATTTTGGGAGAGTCTTTTTCTCAAGTTATTAATTTTTCTAACTGTACAAAGACAATATTTTGTTTCATTTACCAGTGATAACAACACCATATTCAAATTCCAGTCACAAGAATGAAATTTTAGAAAAGCATCCTCATGAAATCCTAATTACATTCCACTCATAGTTCTCAGTTCATGAGATGTATGTATACTATATATGTATGTATGTATGTATGTATAAATGAATGTTTATATAAAACATACAACATGCAAAGTTGTATCTAGTATAAATTTGGCTCTGGAAGCAATTATACTACATTTCAGGGCCAAACGCCCAGGAAGAATGACAGAAACCAAAATTGAATTTCAAACATTTAAGGCATGTTACTGGTGGTTCGGATGGTAAAAAATCTGCCTGCAACGCAGGTGACCTGGCTTTGATCCCTGGGTTCGGGAAGATCCCTTGGAGAAGGAAATGGCTACCCACTTCAGTATTCTTGCCTTGAAAATTCCATGGATAGAGGAACTTGGTGGGCTATAGTCCATGGGGTCACAAAAGAGTCAGACACGAGTGAGTGCCTAACATTTTCACTTTCACAGTTTCACTGTTTGAGCAGTTCAGTAGCAACACTCCAAGCTGTATTTGGCTGTTATGGTCAATGGTCACTCTGGCTATACATTGAAAAGTATGGCTCAAAAGGATGCTTTCGAGGGGGTCTACAAGTGACTCCACAGACTACATCTCTCTTAGAAATGACACAAATGAGAGATGGAATGATAGAAAGCAACAGCCAGAGAGGTAAGGGGGTAAAAAGAAAGAGGCTCTTGTATATGTATTGATGAGCCCCTTTGCAGGTCACCTGAAACTGTCACAATATTGTTAACCGGATATTGTGCTGCGTATTAAGTCACTTCAGTCGCGTTCGACTCTGCAACCCTATGGGCTGTAGCCCACCAGCCTCCTCTGTCCATGGGATTCTCCAGGCAAGAATACTGGAGTGGGTTGCCATGCCCTGCTCCAGGGGATCTTCCCCAACCTGGGACTGAATCTGTGTCTCTTATGCTCCTGCATTAGCAGGTAGGTTCTTTACAACTAGCGCCATCTAGGATAAAACAAAATAAAAAGTGAAGGAAAAAAAAAAAAGAAGGCCCTTAATTATAGTCAGTTATCCAGGGGTTTTACATCTGGTTAGAACTAGAAGGCCTGGCGTGCTGCGATTCATGGGGTCACAAAGAGTTGGATATGACTGAGCGACTGAACTGAACTGAACTGAGAACTAGCCTATCTTTGTTTACACCAACGGAATTCCCCAGGAGAATCCAGCATAGAGAAGCCACAGGAAGAATGTGGTCATACTTTTCAAAGTAGTTTCATTTTGAAAAATCTACCTTCCCTAAAGGGGAAAACACCTTGAGAACCAATTAGTGGTAGGAAGGGCCAGGAGAAAAAGAGTGTGCTCTGGTGGAAAAAGTATTTTGTTGATTTCACGTAAAAAACCTTGGGCCAGATGCTAAAGTGGATGTTCCCCATGCTTATCTCCCCTCTGCCCCAGGGACAGAGCGGTCTGATACACATGTATTTTCTGAACAGAGATGGGAACAAAGTCTCCAAACAATTTTTCTAAGACCTAATCTTGAATCACAGAACAGGTGGCAATTTTCTGAGGAGCAACAGTGGATTATTGGAACAGCAGAAGGAGAACAGAAAAACAGTTTCCTCTTTCCTGGTTAATCAGATTTCTTGTGAGCAAAGCTTTAGGCCTCCACCCTCTGCAGGGCAGAAAGTAAACAAGACAAATGGATACTAAACATTCACAATAAGGCTAAATTCATGATGGATGCCTCTTACTATTTAAGATCAGCTATAAATATGCTGTCCAGTAGTTTTTAATGGTGTGATTGTCTGACTCAGCAGACCAGTGTCAGGAAAGAAATTTACATAAATGGAAAGTGAAATCTTCCTGCAAGAAACAGGCCTGTTAGAAATTGCTTAGGTAAGGAGATGCTCACTTACGCAAACATGGATATACATATTAAACCTGCTCTCCAATATCTGCTTGAGCTGAAGTTATTGCCCATAAAAAAGCTAAGATGTTTGCTTTTAATTTCCAAAAATTCATTTCAGTTTCAATTTTACTTGGAATAAATTCTGTAAATAGAGCTGTCATGACGAATAAGAATAATGCCAAGCTGGTATCCACAAACATGACCAAGACTCATTCTTAAATACAGCACACGTTTAGATGGCCTAGCTCAGGATGATACACATGATATAAGACAACTCCAGGACAACAGACCCTGATCTCTGGAAGTATGATTAGATGAGATCAAAGAGGCTTCATCACAGGATAGCAAAGCACAGACTCTGAAGTCAGACTGCCCAGGTTCACATCTTGGTTTAAGTGATTTCTGGCCTTGTGAACAAAGGAGAGGCACTAACCACTGAAAACTGTAATTTCTCTTTGACAAGATGGGATGATAATAATGCAGTATGGATGTGAAGAATAAATTTAGAGAATCCACCTAAAATACTTGTTATATTGCCCAACAGATATTAAGCATAAAACAGAATGAATGTTAGTTGATAATGTTACTGTAATTATTATGATCATTTTCCTTCTGCTCCATAAAGAAGGCTGACTGCTGAAAAACTGATGCTTTCTAACTGTGGTGCCAGACAAGAATCCTTAAAGATTCCCTTGGACAGCAGGGAGATCAAATCAGTCAATATGAAGGGAAATCTACCCTGAATATTCACTGGAAGGACTGATGCTGAAGCTGAAGCTGTAATACTTTGGCCACCTGATGCGAAGAGCTGGCTAACTGGGAAAAGACCCTGATGTTGGGAAAGATTGAGGGCAGAAGGAGAAGGGGGAGACAGAGAATGAGACTGTTGGATGGCATCTCCAACTCAATGGACATGAGTTTGAGCAGACGCTGGGAGACGGTGAAGGACAGGGAAGCCTGGTGTGCTATAATCCATGTGGTCGTAACAAGTTACGATTGAGTAACTACCCTTCTGCTCCCAGTTCTGCATTTCTGAGTCTGACGGAGAGAGTCATAGACTAGATGAATGGCCCCAATTCCTCACTGATTTCTCTAGATCCATGCCTTTGTCATAGGCTCATCGTGGGTGGACTGTATTTTTCTACCCCTTGGACTGACCCTGGGTTGAGTCATATGACTTGTTTTAGCCACCAATATGTGTGAGAAGTGACAGTAGGCCAGCTTGGGAACCAGATGTCAGGAGGCTTCATGGGTGTTGGCCATCAGTTAGCCTGGTAGCCCAAGGTGTAGTTATAATATGTGGAGTACACTCAGATCTGTAGATCTATTGTGTGATAGAGACAGGTCAGCCTCAGTCAGAGCCCTTTTAGTTACTGTGCAGAGCCATCAGGGAAATAAAGGCTTATAGAGGTATATTATTGAAATGTTGTCATTACTTCATTGCGCTATTATGCAACAGAAGCTAACTGATCCAGGAGTGCATTAAAGGTTGTCTATCCCCAATGCATTTCTTCTTCTCCAAAGAAAAAAAGACACTAGCTCAGTGTCTAGGTCTGAAGCAAAAGTGAAATGATAAGTTTGAGGAGACAAATGCTTTAATAAAGCCAGAATCCTAGGACCAGGGGGGCTCCTATAAACTCTAATTATGCCTTCCTGGCTTTTGAGTGGGAGAGGGCACACGTGAGTAATATCAAGATGATTTTTAAATGGCTAACATTTATTCAAAGTTTATCATAGGCATGGTGCTAGGCATTTTATACCCATTGTCTCTTTTTGTACTCACAAGAGCACCAGGGGACAGGCACTACTAATTTTATTCATTTTATACATGAGGAAACTGAGGCACATTAAAAACAATTGATTTGCCTGCATTCACTGAGGGTGAGAGCAATGAAGGCAGGATTTAAGCTCAAGAAGTCTCACGGCATGGCATGAGATGATAAAGATGATGGTCAGGATTGCTGACAATAAGCACAAACTTGTTTTCCCTCTCTCTGTAATCACTTAACTGCATTGATCCCATTGTGTATATTACTTTATTCAATCCTTAGAACCCTATATGCTAGGTATTATTATTAATGGTGCACTAGTTGGAGTGTATGGTGGAAGGGTTGCATTTGAACTCAGGCAAATCTAGTTAACCATTAAATTTTGGCAACAGCTATGTTCATTTTGCCCACCCCAGTATGAAAGGGCAGGATCATATTCTTCTCTTTTTATCTGGAAATTTATAAGCTTCTCTAAGTTCAAAGGCAAATATGCATTCCCAGAAACATGGATCTTCTAGTGTATAAAATGTGATAAATGACCTTTAATTTATGCTACTTTCTCTCAGACTCCACTGAGCTTTCATTCTTGCAAGCATAAGGAGTAGAGTTTCTTATTTGTTGCTTTGACATTGACTAGCTTTCAGTTTTGCTTTTCTAATTGTGTATTGTTAGGTTCAATTTTGTTAGGTTATAAATTCACAAGAATCCTAACAGTAATAAAAATAATATAAAGAATGAAAACAAACTGCTATCCGGATCTGTTCACATATACATTTCCTGAATCCAGCAAGAAAGCCTCAGTGGTCTTAAGCCTTCAGAAATTTTCTTTATCCAGTCCCCAAGCAGAACAGTTAATGTTTCTAAGTATCTTTACACTGTTGGGCAAACAGCATTCCTACCTACCTTAAAAGCAGCACCTCCATGGATGATGGACTTGATAAAAATCCCCAGGTCTGTTCCAGTTTCTCGAGATTTGTTCCCTTTCAAGCTCACCCCAAGACCAGCAGAACCAGAATCATTCAACGGGATCTCAAAGGTAAGTTGCTCAGTTGTTTCCAGGGAGAATGCACAACAGTCAGGTTCTCCTTTCTGTTGGAAGCGTACATGAAAAGGATGAAGGAGGAGAAAGTAGATGAATGTCAATATTCACATTCTCAGATGGTCAAACACAGATGCAACTGGCAAGACAAGACGCCTGGGTCTCTGCTTAACAGATGTAATCCCCCCCCTGGTGGGCAGAGGGCAGTCTTCTCTGTCTGCAGGAGCCTCCATCACATGGATGGAGTGGACGGGATAATTCTTGGGAATAATATTTGGTGATGGTCAACAGAGAGGATCTTTGGTCAAGGCAATTTGAAACATTCCAAAAACATTTGGAAATTCAGTAGAATATTCTCAATAATTAAAGAGGCTGGATATTACCTAGGGAATCTTAAGTATTAGAATAGACATTAGAGATAATATAATCTCAATACCTTCATTTTACAGATGAAGAAAGAAGAGCTTAGTGTAGAAACCTGCTACAATTCGGGGGAATATCTGGCTTATATAATTTAAAACATATCATTTGCCATGGAAGCAATCCCATCGATAAAGATTGTCACTGGAACACAGAGCACTGGAAAAAATGTTAATTTTAAAGTTAAAGATGTGATCCTTAATTGATTTGAATTGAATTTCACTTTGTCAAAACTCATGCCTTAAGCTTGCTGCTTTGGATAAAATAACTTGTTGGCATCTGGTTTTGGAACCTAAACAAAAATGATAATGCACAGAAATATCCATATTCTCTTTGACAAATGACACCTAGCCACAAGCCTAGCCATTCTAAAAAAAAAACAAAACAAACAAAAAAAACATAGTATGGTGGTAAAAGGCATAATCAGAGGTCAGGTCTCCAGAGAGAAACACACTCTTAATCATACTTGGTCCATCGTGTTTTCAAATATATAAGAGTAGGGATAGAAAAGTGCTGTCCACGTTCCAAAGTGTATAGGGCCCCCTTCTGCATGCCTCCCAAGCTTGCGGAAATGTGAAACTCTGCCCCAGCATTTAAATGAAAAATTTGAAAATGAGATAGCCCTGGAAACCATCAACTCATTCTAGGTCGGTAGTTCCTTCCTCTCTATAATTATGTTTAGAGACTCTCATCTTAAGGTCACTTTGAGGGATGCTTATGTAGAATTATATATTTTAAAAATTACCATGAATGTCTGAATGTCAGTCACAAAATAACAACTATAAAATCAGAAGTAGCAAAGAACCCACAATTAAAACAGGATTAAGAGGTCTGATCATAGCCAGATCTACTGACACGACATCTCTAACTCCTCCCAATGAAGAGAAATTCCATGTCTAGCTTTAGAGAAATATTTTGTTCATTTAATTTCATTGTAAATGAAGTTAACTACAAAGACTTTGACAATGGGTAGTTTCCAAGAAATGAAACTTTATTGTTTAATTTAATAAACCTATTACAAGTTAGCTCTTTTAACTAACTCATTATATGATTATCTTAAAAAAAAAAAACAAATTCCATTATTCAATACCAAGTAGCTGTCTTTTTTCCCATTGGAATGCCAGAGTTAAATAATACTAAATGTAAACTATTAGCCTTTATCTGTGCCTCCCAAAATGTCCAGTTTAGAATCCATAACATTTTCAAAATCATATATGTATACAGGTCTCTCCGGAATTTGGTTAATTTCAATCTAATCAAGTTCTGCTGAATTAAAGTATAAATTAAAGAACGGCTTCTCATTAGATGTTTGTGAACACTGTTTTATAGAAAAACTAGAGTTTCTCTGGTTTTCATCCAGCGAAAAAGTGACATGAGGACAAGTTTCGCTTGAGTAACACCTTCAAACCACTCTAATCAGCTTTCTTTTGGTGACTGTATTTCATTCCCAATAAGACCGAGGGCCACTATTTGTACTAATGCCTTTCATTTATTACATAAGTGGCAAAAACATAATAGAAATTAGGTGGTATTATGGTTTTCTCTTCATGTGAAACAATTTAGTCTTTTAAAGTCTCTGATGTCTGAGAGCTGGAACTATAACTACAAAAACAAACTAGTGGCTAAATATGTTTGAGTGGTTCTGTGCCAAGTGCTTTACACATAGCAATACACTCTCTGTCCAGAACAATCTTGTGAGGTTTCTTGCGAGGCCCATTTTACGGATGAGGAAACTGAGGTATGCAACATAAAAATATCATGCTTATAATTCAACAGACCTATCCATGTTGGAACTTGTGGAGTCCAGGCAGTATGGTGCCTGTGATAGACTCTTAACTGCTGTACTATTTCTCAGCTTCTGCAGGCCACTGTAACTAGACCCAGCCACATGAAATCCCAAGATACATTTCTACAATGGCGGTAAGATGTCATTCAATTTCACACTCTCCACTCAACTACACTTACGTTTCATATCTTTCTTATGTTGCATGAAGTGCAAGTCATAATTAGTGGTCTCTAATAATAGCAAACTTCTCAATGCTGAGGGAAGCCATTATAGTAGTTAACACAGCCATTTCCTCTGTTAGAAATAAATGCTCCTTTATCTAATGTACCAAAAAAAAAAAAAAATCAATATGCTGAATGCCTCTGATAACATTGGTTCGACTAGTATCTCTTAAAATTAAACTCAAATCTTGCCATACAACACTTTGCGGTGGTGGTGGTTTCATCACTAGGTCGAGTTCAGCTCTTGCAACCTCATAGACTGTAGCCTACCAGGCTACTCTGTCCATGGGGTTCTCCAGGCAAGGATACTGGAGTGGGAAGCCATTCCCTTCTCCAGGGGATCTTCCTCTGTTAGAAATAAATGCTCCTTTATCTAATGTACCAAAAAAAAAAAAAAATCAAACATTGGTTCGACTAGTATCTCTTAAAATTAAACTCAAATCTTGCCATACAACACTTTGCGGTGGTGGTGGTTTCATCACTAGGTTGAGTTCAGCTCTTGCAACCTCATAGACTGTAGCCTACCAGGCTACTCTGTCCATGGGGTTCTCCAGGCAAGGATACTGGAGTGGGTAGCCATTCCCTTCTCCAGGGGATCTTCCTGACCCAGGCATCGAACCCAGGTCTACTGCATTGCAGGCAGATTCCTTATCATCTGAACTACCATGGAAGCCCATGGCAGGTATATCCCTTGCTTTTTCTACCTACAAATATCCAGAAAGGGAAAAATCTAGAGGTTGACACAGGAAGAGAAATCATGTGGACTTCATTAGTTTTTGCCTTTCCATTGTCTCTTTTTCTCTGTTACTAGATGCTGTGTTTCTAGATATCAAGTCCTTGAGGTCCCTAGAGTCAGGCCCAGGATGGATGCTCAGATGCCCTACTGCCTGGGTTCAGGTCTAATGCCTCTGAACCTGCCCAGGGCTGGCCATGCAGGATCAACTCAGGCTTTCTTAACCTTAGCACCAATGATGACTGGGGCCTGATAATTCCATATGGGGGCTGCGCACTGCACAGGAGGATATTATCAGAACCCCTGGCTACTAGCTAGTAAATGCCAGGAGAATCTCCTTTCTCAGTCGTGAAAACCAAAACTGCCTTTAGACACTGCCAAGTGGCCCCAGGGGTCAAATCACCTTTAGGTGAACGTCACCACCCTGAATCAACAATTGCCAAGTGCAGTCAAGTTCTAGGTAACCAGGGTCTACAGCGTCATTTGGGATGACAGCACCGCCTGATGACATGTTCCTAAGTGCCAGGAAGGGGTGGCGGTAACAGGACCTGCAACTGATTGGGTCTCATGGTTAAAGGCTCGTGATGGACCCTGGAGATGACCACAATGAACTCCTATGGAAGTCTGTGATGTCTTAGCTATGCCTCTGGTTATATGGCACTAATTTTCCAGAGGTAGGAATGAGAACTTCGTGGGATGAACACAGTATAAAAAGTGATAAATACTCAATTACTGATGTGTGTATATATATATACACACACACACACACATACACCACACATATATATATATATGGGATTCTCCAGGCAGGAATACTGGTGAGGGTAGCCATTCCCTTCTCCAGAGGACTTCCTGACCCAGAACCTGGGTCTCCTGCATTGCAGGTGGGTTCTTTACCTTCTGAACCTCCAGGGAAGCCCCTTCCCTGATCATTCAGTTTAAAATTATTTTAAGGCAATACCATCCTGCCTTTGTCTATTATCCTGATTTACTTTTTCTCCCAGCAGCATCACATACCATATATTTGCTTGCTTATGTTTTATTTGTTGATAGCATCTTTTGAATGCAGGAATACTGCTCTGTTTTCGTCCCATCAGTGAATCACTGATGCTTAAAACAGTGCCAGATTCAAAAATAAGCCCTGGATAAGTACTGGTTGAATGACTGAATTAATAAAAATGAGTAAATGTCCAATAAGACATGATTGTGTATATGTATATATGTGTATCTCTGAATGTGTATTTCTGGGATTATATATACATGTTTATATATAAGAAAATGAAAAAACTGCTGGCACCCCATTTGGTTCCTATTTTTCTGGATTTTATTACTATAAGTGTTTATAAGTTATATTAGTTTTGACATTAAAAATAATTATAAAAAATATAAAGTATCACAGTTACAAGAAACCTTAAAGTAACCTAATTTCCCTTTTCATGCCATACTTCCTACTAGGAGAGATGATAACCCAGCTCAGCTTCAGCATCATAGTCTCAATGAAGGCAGCATAATGTGTTATAGCTACCAATCTGTAAAGAAGAATGGACTGTGCATGATTTAAAATTGCATCATTCACCTCAAATCATAAATGAACATTGCAAATAGGGATATTCATTGTGCATTTCATCACATTTGAGAAGCACTGTGACTAAGTACCCAGAGTTACATTATGCGTCGTCTCCTTATCTGTCCATATATACATATATGAGTGCACACATACATATCTAAATAAAAACTTCATGAGACAATACTTAGCAAGAGGGCAACACATTCTAATGTTTTCTATTCTAATTGATTTTTTTTAAATTTGTCACAACTCATTGCATTAATTTCATAATCCAATAAAGCATCATAGTTTTCAATTTGGAAAATATCACAGTGATATACAAA